GATCGCTACCGTGTTTTCAAATACTTTCTTTGATCCTGTTTTGCCAGAATAGGGCATGAAAACATCAAACATCAGAGAATGAAATTTGAAAATATAATATTTTTGTTGCTGAAGGCCAGGAAGTAGTGTTTTTATTGAGGAAACAGTAATGGGTGGTGTAGGGGAGAGTTGGCAAACAGACACTATATATTTAAAATAATACACCCCTGCACTCATTATGATTTTTTTAACATTCTGTGTAATATAATTTATGGTTTAGCAAGAACTCTTGTAGCAGTGTTTTTTATTTTAATGAATTTCCTCTTTTTATTGATGGTGCTCTATTAAAAGGCATAAGTGTTGGTTGCAAGTCACATCACATGTTGTGATGTTGATGATGATGGAACCAGGACAAGCTTTCCTGACTCTAACATGAATCAGAATCTTGGCAGTGTCTTACATAATGTATTAATTTTTAAAAGAGAGTGCTTTGCTTATGAAGCTTCAGGGAAACTAGGACAATAAAATATACAATTAATTAAAATCTTTAGAACAACCAGCAGCAGCATTAATAAAACATTACCCTCTAAAGCACATAAGAATTGCAGCTTACTCTCCTACCTCAGTGGGAAAAACCAGGATAAAAGAGTCTGTCTTTCATCATCGCCAATAAATGGAATTTATTGGACTTGGGTTGGTAGATTTTCAAAGAAATAGGCTCATAGCCAATATCCCTCTCCTCCCGCCATAAAACATCTGGGTGCTCTCAGCTTTAATAATAACAATCATCCGGCTTTAATTAGCACTTACTTCACTTACATATTCTTGTTTAATCCTTACATGAACATTGTGATAGATGTTAGAATTTCTGTTGTGTAGATGACAGAACAGAGGTGATTTTCCTAGTGTAGTTCTTGACTGGTACCGGCAGCAGGAGCTTGTTGGAAAGGCAAATTTGCCACCCCTTACCCCAGATCTACATCAGAAACCTCAGGGTGGAGACCAGCAGTCTGTCTTTACAAGGTCTGCAGGTGATTCTTGTGCATGTTTGTATTTGAGAGTAAAGGGGTTGTAAGATTTATGTGACACCACTGTGTAGTAGAGGCAGGATCTGAGCCCTAGCACAGCTGACCCTTAGCTGGAAATGAGGGGCTTCAATACTGCAAAATCCAAAATATGACTGTTTTGTATTGATAGTTCACCCTTGTTATTGATTGGTTGAATTTATGAGTGTCGACTGAGGATTGAAAATAATTCAGGTGTAAGGTGGGCCTGTGGAATTCAAACTGTGTTGTATAAGGGTCAATTATATATTGGGTTTTATTATTCACAGGGAACATCTCTAAGTTAACCTTCTAAACAAGGGCCTCTTAAGATTAGTAAAGGCGTTTCTTTTGGCTTCCTGGACCCAATTACCAATATGAGGAAGGGAGTTCCCCACACATACAACAAGCGATTCTCTGGACAACAGCTCTGGAATTCCCACAATTCAGTTCAGTTCCTGCACTCATCTGTCAGATACATGATGTGCAAATATCTTCTCCCATTCAGTAGGATGTCTTTGCATTTTGATGCAGGTTTCTTTCCCAGCACAGAAGCTTTTTAGTTTGATGTAGACTCATTTGTTTATTTTTGCTTTTTGTTTCTTTTGACATTGGAGTTGAGTATCCCAAACACATTTCTAAGGCTGATATCTAGAAGCATATGTGTACGGTAAATGAGGATTGGTCAGGTCTTGCGCCGCTGGCCTCTGTGACTATCTCTTGAGGCCGTGAGTGCAGGAGGCGCTTGAGAGCGTGGGCTGGGGGCCGCGTGCCTGATTGTGGGCACCTGGACTGTAGTGCAGGCATGCAGAGGTGGGCACACCTGGGTCTAGAGTCTGGGCACACCTGGGTCTAGAGGCTGAGGCTATAAGGGCACCGTCGTGACTTGACTAGAACAGATGATTGGTGTGAAGTGATTATAAGTTCTTAAAGAACAGCTGAGCTGAATGGCTACGAGGGGAAGGGTGACTACAGAGTGGCAGGAACACAGGCAAGGAGAAACGCATACACATTTGCCGGGGGCTGGGAAGCCTTCCAGCCTCCTAGCCCCCTGGCCTCCCTGCCTTGCCAGACCACGGGCTTGCCCCACATTTAGTGTAGAAAGAGCATTAAAGCCCAGAAAAGACAATGAGCACTTCAGGACTCTCCTTTATCCATCTGCTAGCTTCGACAGAGAACCTGCCCTGTGCTTGCTGGTACTACAACATGTCCTAAGTTTTCCTCTATATATTTTATGGTTTCAGGTCTGCATCCAAGTTTTTAATCTATTTTGTTTAATTTTTGTGTGCAGTGTTAGTATCATTCTTTTGCATATAACCGTTCGTTTTTTTCCCAGCACCATTTATTTATTGACGAAACTTTGCATGCTCCATTGTGAGCTCGTGGTTACTTTGTCATAAATTAGTTGTGCATATGTGTGTGGTTTTATTTCTGGGTTCTCCATTCTGTTCCATGATCTGTGTGTCTTTGTTTTGGTTCCAATCACAAGCTGCTTCAATTCTACTGCTTTGTAGGACAGTGGAGCGTGAAGTTGGGGAGTATGATTACCTCCACTTTTTTTCTCTCAAGTGTTTTTATTATTTGGGGGTCTTTGTATTCCCCCCAATTTTTTGTGATTTGTTTTTTGTACTATTTCTGTGAAGAATGCCATTGGAATTTTATTTCATTTTTTTAATTTATGCCACTGGAATTTTTATAGTTATTGCATTGAATCTGTTCATTGCCTAAGGTAATGCAGCCATTTTAATGATGTTAATTGTTCTAATCCAGGAACACAGAGTACCTTTGCATCTCATTGTGCCGTCTACTTCTTTCAACAATGTATTATAGTTTTGAGTGTTGAGGTCTTTCACTTCTTTGGTTAACTTTTTCCAAGGTGTTTAATTAAAAAAGAATATTAATAGGAAGATCTTTTTATTTTTTTAAGGTTTATTTATGCACACCTCTGGCCTGGTGTAGGCCAGAGGTGGGGGTGATTGGATTCACCAGAGACAGAGTGGGGAGCAGAACAGGCAGATCTGCTGAAATACACTGCTGAGGGGAGCAGCAGGCAAGACAGGAGAGGTCTGCTGCAGCATGTGGGTTAGCTGCCTGGCCAGGGACACAGTTCATGCCACAGTGGCTGGCAATAGCTTGATCATGCTGAGACTTTAACCCCTGTGCCACCAGGGAGGCGCCAGAAGATCTTTTTAAATTATTTATTTGGAGAACCAGCTCACTATGGTCTCTTCCCCCTTTATACTATTACCTCCATCTAGAAGGTGCCTTTGAAACAGAAATGATCAGCTCTAACTATGCCTGTTTGAAAACCATTCATGGGCTTTTCTTTGTTTACTTCTGTGTCATCACAAGGATAGTACATGACCAATTACATAGGCGCTAAACCACTTCTCAGGTAGATATAATGACACTTCCATCTCTAGAATGTTGTCTCCATATTGGTGAAGTGTGCTGACAAGTCATAGAACATGATTTTATTCTTGCTATTTCCTAGTTGTGTGATCTGGGCACATTATCCTACAATTGAGAGATACAAACTCTGAGCTGTGGTTTCTCAGCTGAGATACAGAGATCATACTGTCTTACAGATTAGATTCGGTTTCTTGAGAATACTTTGGAAGCCATTGGGTGCAATGTACATAGGCAGTTATGCTCTGGAATGTCCTGAAGAATGACTTTGGAGAGTGGGTGTTCTTAGATGTTTGAGGATGAATGTGTATTCTGCTCCCTCTGATGATGACTGACTCCATCAATTGAGTCTCTCCACAGAAGAGTGTGGCAGCGTGGTTGTGAGGGAGGACAGCCAAGGGCTGTGTACTTATCCAGGCCCAGTTGTGAACCATATAACTGACTATTCAGCTTCATCAGTAGGATAGACATCAGATGACCTTTTTGTAAAAGTTCTTTCGAGTAAAGAGGGTATGAGAGACCAAAAATTGTGAGTCAGTGTATGTCAACTGGATGCAGTCACCAGGAAAGTAACACAGAGAAGACAGGGGAGGATGATGGGTGAGGATTAAGACCCCCCACCCCGGGACCCTGGTGCCAATGCCACTGGTGTAGCTGGGTCCGTGGAAGGCTCACATATTCCTGTCTCAGCTTCAACCAAGCCTACCCTGTATATAAAGATACCAAGAAGCTGTAGGGGCATGTTTATAAAACCATTTGATAACTATATAGTAGGGTTCCAGACTGGCCTATGGCCAGATGACTAAATGTGAACGGATATCAGGTATCTTAAAAGTTCATGTGTCTGTGCCATGAGCGGAGGGGTGGGGTATGTGTGAGGTAGGTAGAGAAGGTAAAAATTAAAGAATGTGTTCCAAAGGAGAAGCTGCTGGTTAGTGCCCTGTGAATCTGGAATTACCTATTCATCTAAATTTTGTAGAGAATTTGGGGATCTGGCTTTTTTTTGTAATATATTCAGATTTTTAATGCTGGATGAATTTAAAAAAAAAAAAAACAACACTTTGTGGCCCAAGTAACACGCATCTGTGAGCCAGATTTGGCTGTAGACTGCCAGCTGGTGGCCTTTGCTGCAGAGTGTTCTATAAACATGACCTGTTATTATTGGATGTCCTGGAATTCATAACAACCTCCCTGGAGCCTTTCTGTTTGGGGCCCTTCTAGGAAGACATTGCTGCTTTCCTGACATTCCAACACTTTCCTCACACCTTCTCTCCAACATACACCCAGCCTGTTTTGATACAAAGTCCAGGGACTTTATAATTTGTGTTGTGTAGTTTAAAGAGATTCTGTACATCCAGATGTGCAGGCAACTATGGAAAAGATTTGGGAGATTGGCATTCATGGTTTTTACCCTCCTCCTAGAAGATCAGGGCATGGATTGATTGCTGCTGAATTTGTGGAACCCCTGGGATAAAGATAATATATTGCATGCTTTTAGGGCATGTATAGTGTTTCTAGGAATAGGTTTTTTTTTTTTTTTTCATTGCTTTTTATAATTTTGTGTTACAGAAAAAAGAGTTTGACGTGGACACCCTCAGTAAATCAGAGCTTCGGATGCTCCTCAGTGTGATGGAAGGGGAGCTGGAAGCCAGAGACCTAGTCATTGAGGCCCTTCGGGTAAGAACCTTCTAGTCCCAATGTGGGGTCATTTTCCTTTTTCAAAGGGGTAATGTCAAAGCTGTGTTTTCTTTTTTTTTAAGTCACAGAAGTGTTAATATGCCTTTCACCTCAGATACCAACCCATGACCTTTATAAATCCGAACAAACTCTAAAGTTGAATGGTCATTGAAATAATGGGAACTGAGACTAAACTGTTTAATGTGGGGAGCTTGAAAATTGAGCTGTAATCGTTTTGAAATCCTTTTATGTTTATTTTGTTAAGGGCAATTTTTCAGAAAATTGGTAATTTGGTATCCTACACATATTTGAGAGCAGTGATGAAAAAGAGGCTCATTTATAAAAGATATTGCTGATAATAGAGATTTTTCCTTTCTATAGAAATTTTAAATGGTTTCTTCTTTTTCAGAAACCCATGAGTCAAAAACTTAATGTTGCAAAAATATATATGTTCTCAAATCGTTTTATTATTTTTCATCTGATTTTGAAATTTTTATAATTTAAGAATTACCTTCCAGTATATTATTTAAATGTCTCAAAGTCTTGTTGTCTTCTTTAAAATATATAATGTTGCTAAACCTTCTTAATGCAAAATTTTCAAATTGTTCCCAATCTTGTACTTGTTGTGGTATGTGAGTCAAACTTAGGTTTTTTTCCTCTTTTATATTTAATACTGTGTATTTAATGAAGTGTTTGCTGATTTTTGGTCAAAAGGAATCTACTTATTATATAGGAAATATGTAATATTATTTGATATAGTAGGGAATATTTCCTCAAGCTTTGTCATAAGGATTTTATTTTACTATATGAAAATCTGTGGGGTATCTAAAAGTTGTGTCCCCAATTGGACATGTGGGTCGATGGTCAGCCATAGTAGGGAAGGTGACCAGGCTGAAAATCCAGGTGTGTAGGAAGGGTAAAGTTCCAGAAATAATGACTTCAGTACCTTTTACCACCTGGAGGTTGATAAAGTGGAGACAGTGATTATTCCATCAATTTGATGGGAGAAAATGATAGCCTCAGAAGAAATTGGAGTGTGGTTCTGCCATCTGCAAACCATTGTTGAGTTGAAGGTGGTGTGTCTTGATTGACAAGCTTCGATAAGCAGGCATGTGCCCAAAGTGCTTGTGAGAGTGTTCTTCCTGTTCCTCATTTAGACCATTTGTATTGCTTGTCAATGTATATTTCCTTGAAAGAAGTTGGTGAGAGAAATGCTAAGGCAGTGTATCCCCAACAATTGTGACCCTCACCCCCAAGGAAGGTGCAAGTGCATAGTCTCTTGAGACCCAATAGATATGTGGGCTGTAGTTCTACCTTAGGTATTTTTCTGTTCATCTGTAAAGGCATCACAATGACAATTTCTACTGCTCACACACATTTGAGCTTTTAACAACCTGGTTTTGTAAAAGATACTGCTTATAGCAATCATGTATTTTTCTTTTTAACTTAATTGCAATATCTTTAAACATAAGAGGAGAGGTAAAGATTTGCAAATAATCAGGACTTGTTAAACTGAATGCTTTTCATAAAATCAAGGAGTGTTGGAATTCCAAGGAGCTTAATGCGACATTCTGAAAGTCAGCCGCCTGCATCCTGGTCAGATGTAGCATTTCATTTTCTTGGAATATTTTGCATTACCCTTCACTATCTTAACAGTGTAATTCATGGATCAGTGCATGTTTTACTAGATGATGTTAAAAATAACCAAGACCTTGCCTTAGTTGTGATATAAAGAGGAAAATAACTGATAATAAAATACTATGCATTTTCAATGTGTAAATGCTCAGACGTTACTATAGCGGGAGACATGCTAAAGTAGGTGGCTATTTGCACCTACTTATAGTCTCACCATGGATGTCATTATAGAAGAATTCTGATTATAGCTTTGACTCAGATACAGGAAGAGATTTGCTGCAACTCAGGTGATTTTTCCGAAATGGTGAAATGATTGTCAGTGAAGTTCCAAACAAATGTACACAATGTAATGGAGGTGAATCCCTGAAAAATTCAGTGTGTGTTAAAACTGAACTAAAACATGTTTATATGTTAAAAGGAATTACCCTCTCAGCTCAGTCCTATTGAAGGTTCTTAGGAAAGGAATCAATGGAGGGACATTTGAAATTTGGAGACTTGGGGCAGTTCCTCCATGTGTAACAAAGTCTTAGTTCTAACCCCAAGTACCAGTCATTGTGAAAACTGAAAATGCTCTCCCTCTTTCCAAACTACACTGCCTAGGGGACTGCCCCTCTGGAGAACCACTGGCTGAGAGCAGAGTCCTTTGTTTATACATTAAAATAAGCAAACAAAAAAGGAAGCCCAGATTGTGACTTGTCTCAGGCCCTTGGCATGCACAAACTTGGTCTCTTTGGAGGTTCTCAGAGCTTTTTGTCATTTTTGAAATTTGAGAGTTGTGACCGATTGATTTTTAGATGATTGTGTTTTAAGAGTAAGTTTTCATGCCACATACCTGTCATAGTTGTCATAGACTCACAGTGGTGATTTACTGATTGACTAACTCTTGGGGACATTCACTGGACTAGTGAAACTAGTCAAATATTTCCCTGATTCCAGATGGATCATTTAGTTGAATTTTCCTTTAATAGGAGATACAATTTAGTGACTGGTTTATGCCCCATGAAATTTGGCAGTGGGGGGATTGAAACATTTTATTTCAAAATCTGCCCAACATAGTAATCAGTATGTTGCTATTCAGTTGGAACAGAAACACATTTTTCTTTTTAAGGAACAGAAGTATATTTTCTTAAAAGTAAAAAGTAATATTTTTCTGAATATAGTAATTATGCTAAACATAATATACAAATTATGATTTTTTTCCAGATGTAAAGATATCTACTTTATATCCTAAACTTCATTAAAATTTAGAAATGATTCTATTCTGTGATAATCAAATTCTTTAGAATTTTAGAAACTTTAAAAAGATATTTCAGGGCTTACTTGGTGGCCTAAAGGTTAAGTCTCACCGCTATCATCACTGTGACCTGAGTTCGAACCCCAGCCAAGGAGCTAACCCACTTATGGCGCAGCAGACCTCTCCTGTCTCACCCACTGCTCCCATTAACTGTGTATTTCAGTAAATCTGCCTGTTTTCCTCCCTACTCTATCTCCGGTGAATCCTCTCACTCCCCACACCTCTGGCCCATAACCCAGTTCTTTTATGCAAAAAGAAAAATCCAACATTAAAAAAAAAATTATAAAGAAAAGATATTTCAGACCATGTTATTTTACTTTTTTATATCATGTTATCCTGACACTTGATTTTCGTCATGAAAAATTACATAGGTCATTGAATTAAAGGTATTAGATATTTTAGAATAATCTAAAAATATGATTTTGGGAAAAGGATGTTAGGAAATTATATTATAAATCATGGTGCTTTCACTATTTTTATGTTTTAAGGTAAAAATATTTTCCAACATAAATGGTGCATGGCTTTATGATAGATGTAATGTTTAAGACACTAATTTTTTGGGGGGGAAATTATGTTTTAAGGATAGTGATATTGATGGAAAATCTGAATTGGCTAAAGCTGCCTAACTAAAATATATTTAATTGGATTGCATAAGAAATATTTTTTCTCAGTGATTTTCATTTGTTCATTTGTAGAAAGTAGGTCACAAATGTGGCATGCATGGACTTGGTGTATTTGGAGATTTTTAAAGCTTTTTATCATACTAAAAATTTAAAAGTTGGGCCTCCCCGGTGGCACAGCGGTTGAGTGCTGGGTTGCGAAGCTGCCCGCAACCTCTGCAGCGCCGGCTCGATCCCCAGCCTCCAGCAAGGGTCCCACATGGCACACAGACCTCTCCTGCCACCCATTGCTCCCCTCAGCAGTGTATTTCGTCAGTGTGCCTGTTCTGTTCCCTGCTCTGGCTCTGGTGAATTCTCTCACCCTCCCTCGCTTCTGACTGTACCCAGTGCATGTATAAATAAATAAATCTTTAAAAAAAATAAAAAAAAAATTAAAAGTTGTTTAATAAACAACTTATACTGCTCATATATATATAAACAATTTATATTAAATATATGTCAAATAGAGTCTAGAGGAAACTATTTTGAAGTTTAATAGAGAATGCTCAGAGAGAAGCAGCTATATTTTCTGAAAATTAAGATAGATTCCGAGCCTTTGAATTGAACTGAATTGAATGTCCAAAAATTGAATATACAGCTTACCCAGATAGCATTGATTCAGTGCTAACTGCTTAGTTTGTGGAATCTTCTGGCATTCACTGCCTTTTCCTTCTTGCTACTAGTCTTTTTAAAATGAGTGTCTTAGTCAAAGGGAGACAAAAGTGAGAAGATGAAAATGCCATAATTATAAAATTCTAAGTCAAAATCATGTACTTTAGCCTACATTTAAAGGGTTTAGCCTGCTATTGTTAACATAAGTTTACACAAATGTCACTGAAACAATGAATTCCTTGAGCAATTAACTTCCAAGTTTCTTTTATACCTTCTTTCTCTTTTAGATTAGACACACAAGAATCACTGGTATTGCAGACGTGGCATTTCTTTCTATAGTCAGTATGGAATGGCTGTATAATCTAGGCATTTATAGTACTTGTTTGGGTAGGGGGAAATTAAGTTATTGAATTGCCTTCTGCAAACAACTGTAACAGGCAGACCCAAAATATATTGTTTATTTTTCATATGCATCGGAGTGGTAGCCCTCAGCCAGCAGTTACTCGGCAACCCAGATAATACCTATCTTGCACTGCTCCTCGGATTAGCCTCAATTTTCAGAGCTGAAGCTGAGTCAGTGCCACTGCACACCCTAACCTGTGAAAAGGGGGCAAGATACAACATGAGGGACAAGCCAAGCAGCCTCTGGGCAGCACACACTGGCTGTCAGGGAGACTGGGGATGGAGCTGGCGCGTTGTTACCTGTTAACCCATAGAGACAGTGAGGACCCTGAATAACCTAATGTAGTCCCTTGTTTTTAACTTATATGATGGCCTGGAGTGTGGAACAAGACAATAGA